CTAAAATTTTATTTAAGTTATTGTTTAAGGCAAAGGTCGGCTGGTGGCGAGATTTATCTTGGGCTCCTTTAGTGATAAAATTTGTTAGACTGCAGCCGTCGAAACCAAAACAGTTAAAATCATAATTCTCAGCAATATAGTTCATAACTGTTAACGAGGACATAAACCACAATGATTCCGTTTGAAAAATGTATGGTGAATTTCCACAACCCTGAAGCAAAACGAGAAATTACGCGAAATGATTAAACGCAATCGATCTTTCTATACGCGCCACGCCTGTAAACCAATAACAGGTACTCAACAACTAAATTATAAATTCATTTCAATTTTCAATTCTATAGTCTAATTTTTCATTTCATTGATTGTAAATAACAATCCGTGATCATCTCTATTGTTTAAATGTTTCGCTTGACGTGTGATTGTAGAGCTCAGATTGGTTAATTATATCAGAGTCTCTTAGCCGGTGTAGTCTGGGGACGAGGGCACACGGACGAGTCTTGTTTCGTACGTGCTTCTGACAGTGAAACGCCTAACAGAGGGTGGCATTAATGCACTTTCGTTGATCCGTTTTCTTCTATCCCTCACACAATCAAATATTCTCATTGCTTTCATTGCAAGCCAATACATTTAGAAACACTGTTCAGTGTGGATAAGGTCTGAATCTAAAATTATATAATCTGCCTCGCTGTTGTTCGTCCGAAAAATAACTAAACGACCATTGGCTGTTTCAGATGAGGTTCGCACCGGTACCTATCGCCAACTGTTTCACCCAGAACAACTGTTAACCGGCAAAGAGGATGCCGCTAACAACTATGCTCGCGGGCACTACACTGTTGGAAAGGAAATGATTGATCTTGTTTTGGACAGAATTAGAAAATTGGTAAGCCATTAACCAGCTGGTAAAACTACATTTCTTGAGGAGGGCTGCTGTTTCGTTTTTGTTTTAATGGTCTGACACTTTCTCTGCACAGGCTGACCAGTGCACAGGTTTGCAAGGTTTTCTCATCTTCCATTCCTTTGGTGGTGGTACTGGCTCTGGATTCACATCTCTGCTTATGGAGCGTCTGTCTGTTGACTATGGAAAGAAATCTAAGCTGGAATTTTCAATCTACCCAGCGCCACAAATTGCAACAGCGGTTGTGGAGCCTTACAACTCCATTCTGACCACTCATACCACCTTGGAACACTCTGACTGTGCCTTCATGGTGGACAATGAGGCCATCTATGACATCTGCCGTCGCAACTTGGACATTGAGAGGCCAACCTACACCAACCTGAACAGACTGATTGGTCAGATTGTGTCCTCCATCACTTCATCACTCCGTTTTGATGGCGCCCTGAATGTTGACTTGACTGAGTTTCAGGTTGTTTTCAGTAACATTAGGTGATAATTTTGTTAAATTCATAAGCAAATTATTCACCGAATCTAATGTCAGTCGCCAAGACCACCGTCTCTTATTTTGAGACCACTGATACTTATTTTGTTGTTCTAGTGATTTGCTGATACTGAATATCTTTGCGGCCTAGATAAGATTTCTTTTTGACCTAGTCAAACGTGCATCGTCAGTTCCGTACACTTGTAAAGTAACATAATTTGTGCAAAAATAGAGTAGTGGTAGCCAGGAGCTAACACTGTGTTTCCACTGATGAAG